TGCCGTTATGGCCCGCCCGAGGTTGTAGTTTCGGACAACGGTACACAATTTACTGCGGTAGATTTTGCACAACTCTGCTCCGACTTCAACATCACACACCTATACAGCACTCCCGGACATCCACAATCAAATGGACAAGCGGAGAGGATGGTTGGAACATTAAAACGGGCAATGGATTTGAACTCGTCAAAGCAACTTGAGACGGAGTTAAACCAGTTCATCTACACTTACAACTATACTCCTTGTGAAGCAGCTCCGGACCACAAATCTCCGGTTGAAATTTTTTTTGGCCGCAAACTGCGTACACCGCTGGAGATGTTCACTCCAGCCTCCAAACCAAACATGTCGCTTACAAAAATGCAAATGAAAATGAAACAGCAATTCGATCTTCATCACGGCACTAAATCTCGTCACTTTGTTCCAGGTCAAACCGTTGTCGTACAACTTGCTAATAAACAACGTGTTTCAGGGACATTTATCCGAAAGGTGGGGAAGACCATAGCCCAGATTCGCGTTGCAGATAAATTAATCACGCGACATTTCAACCAAATTTGGAATCGCATAGCGGGACCAGATGAAAAACAGCAGGCCGTCGACATAGAGCTGTTGCTATCATGCCAACATCCGGATGCAGTGAGACAGGCAGATGCACCCGTGGTGCAAATAACTCCGGATAACCCGTCGAGAGAATCTGGAGAGACAGGACATTTGGAAAACATCCCTACCGCTGCGACGGGGAAGATCGCTCGTCGTTCGAGTCGGCTCGCTGATCAGAGGCGCCCGGATTATAAGGCGTTGGGTGGAACTCGTCAGTACAGGCAACAATGTTCTTAAACAGAGGAGGAATATTGGGAACGGACCTGCGCGCGCACGTGAGCTGAGCGTGCGCACGGCACGGCACGGACGGACGGTCGAGTTGAGTCGAGTCGTATGGCGTCAGTAGACGAAAGCCTATCTTTCTGTAACCGATTCTAGTGAGTAAAGGACGAAGTCAAAAAGGCCTTGATTATCCTAAGTATCCGCGTTCATATCACAATCCTAAATCCTTCCCTGGACTAACGGGCACAACACAAACATACGGAATAATACGTAAGTATAATGTATTTGTGGCATATAGTATTGATGATTTTGTATGCGAGATGATTTTTATAAATACATTTTGTTTGTTTTTATCACATTTTATGAACTTTATTCACTCGCAAGGACAATAAGGGAAAAATAAAAAATCACTTAATTAAGAATATGTATAGTTACCAGCTGATGCGAAGTAGCGTACAATATCGCATAAAATCCATTTGGCTGCCGTGTTTTTAAATGCAGGTTGTAACGATGCCTTCACCGCTTTATTCATCTCTGATTTAGAATATCCCGTTGGATAAGAGCACACAGTTTTCGTCATCTAGTTGGACGGAATTAAACCCAATCCGTCTCGAAATTCGACGACATGAAATGCTATCCTTTCTCTTTTTCATATAAATACAAGTAGGTAATTCTGGAGAATAGGGCCTTTTCAGTCGGGGTACATATTTTTCGGGCTCCCCCGATTGATTATCACTGTCACAACAAAGGTTTTTACCAAGAAAACTGCAAGAAAATATCAAAATTCGGAAAAGGCCCTAATCTCCAGATTTACCCACAAGTAGATAGGGTGGGTTACTACTACTTTATGGTGCTCCGCGCCCCTCGCGGAGCAACAGAGGAAATAGTACATGTACATGTGAGCCGCATGGATTCCCCCCACCATAATAAATAATAAAATAATCGCGGGATAAAAGCTGGTTCGCCGGGACTCGAACCCGGCTCGCGTGGCTGACAGTCTAACGTCAAACGCATGCGGCTATCGTGTACACTTGACGACGCGCTGGAAAAAACGACTATATAAGCGCGCACACGCGCTCGCTCGCGCGCACGCGTACACGCGCCTGCGGTGAGGTGAGGAGAGAGAGGGGACTATTCGAGGCGAAAAAAATAACGTAGAAAAAAAGTCGGTTCGGCGGGACTCGAACCCGGCTCGCGCGGACGACAGTCCGGCGCGCAACGCGCGCGGCTATCGCGCGCCCGCCTGCGGTGGGGTGACGAGAGAGGGGTAGCCCCCGCGTCGCGAGGAAAAATAACGTAGGAAAAAAAACTGGCTCGACGAGATTCGAACCCGGCTCGCGCGGACGACGGTCCGTCGCGCAACGCGCGCGGCTATCGCGCGCACATCCGCGGCGGGGTGAGGAGAGAGAGAGGGTGGTGTAGCGTTCCCGCGGGATCACGCGCACACATCCCGGAAGCGCTCAAGGTTTTTTCGGTTTCCTGTGAAAGTGCGTGAGGTTTCGCATCCCGAATCCCGCGGGCGACGAAGGATGAATAAAAGCGCGAGCGATCGGGCGTTGATCGCATCGCCTATCGTGTCTAACGTAGAGGTCTATTATGATCAGGTCTAAGAGAGAAAGTACCAACGACTGCGAAGAGGAGGATTTATATTGCGACGAGACGTTACCCTCGAGCACGTCCGTATACGATATTCATGTGGAGGATGAAAATCTTGTGAAAACAGAATATGCCATATACATA